ACTTAAGAGGATTCGGGGATCCGGAAGGCCGCGGTGGAGCCGGAGTGACAGAGGACCAAGGTGGAGCCGGAGGGAAGGAGGAGCCTGACAGAGCCAGAGGGAAGGAGGGATGAGGCGCAGCCGGAAGAGTGGAGTCCCGAGGCAGCAGATGGTCGACGGCAGACCAAGGTGGAGCCGGAGGGCCTCCATGGCCATAACAGGACAGGCAGATGATGACGGAAGACTGGGTACTTCAGAAAAAAAAATCTATTAAATCTCCAGAGTCCTGCCTTAGCTCACCCTCAGCAGTTTTGCAGTGGGCGGGGCATTCCTCCATTCCGTCATGCTCCACTAACTCATCCACCGTCGCGTGCATTATAGCCGGCTCTCACACCTGATCCTCAGCTCTGTCGCTCTCGTTGGCGATGGCTTGTCGGTCGTGGCGGGCGCTGGCTCTCCGTCTGCGGTGGGCTCAGGCTGATGCTCTGCGCAGCGGGGTGATGGCTGGCTGGGCTCTGGTTCTGGAGTGGGGCTGGTGTTGTCGTCCGCTGGTCCCACGGTCATGGACGATCCACATGACACCAGCACCCACTTGACATAGTCCGCGAAACTCCCTCAAGGACCCTCCCCGTACAACTGCGCACATGTGGTGGTGTTCAGTCCGGCGTGCAAAAATGTGCAAAAGCAGACATCCGGGAAGGCAGTCAGATGTGCTAGACCGAGGAATTCCTCCAAGTGTTCCTCGAGGGAGCGGTTCCCCTGTTCCAGGCAAAGCAGGTTAACGGCGGAAAAAAGAAACAAAACAGACAGGGCAAAAAACGGAAATGAAACAAAAACACAAACACAGTGCTTTCACTTGTTCGGTCAGGTCTTCTGTAACGATCTGTGTCGACGAACACACACGAAGATGAAGGCTTACAGTCTTTAATAAATCCAAATAGGTTAATCCAGACAGGGAAGGCAGGTGACACATACACATCAATGTTAACTTAAGACCCGACAAACTCAAAAAAAAAACATGGCAGTAGAACGCTGCGTGGTTTGAAAGCAACTTCTGTAGTTGCGTTTCCATCAACCTTCAAATTGTGGAAATTGAAATTGTGAATAGAAAATACGCCCAATGGAAACACATCAATAAATCGCAAAAACTTCCATATATTGCAAAAATGTTTTTATGGTCGCATGTGTAACGGTCTGTGTCGACGAACATGCACACACACGAAGTCAGCTGAACCTAATGACGAAATCAAATCAATAACCATGACAACGGGAAAAGAAAACAAACTGAGAATCCAAACTAACAAAACTGTGACAGAATGAGGTGGTTTTTCAGGCAATTCGAAAAAGGAATATTTTTCAAAACTGCAATGGAAACAGTTTTTTTTGCATTTACAGGTCATCTGGTGTAAGTAAAAGTCACATGATCATTCTTTAATGTAATATAACCTCCACAAAAAAAAACACCTCATACAGGGCTGCTCTCAAGTTTAAGGGGTTTTCTTTACCATAACCCCTTATTTACACTGCATGCGTCTGCACACGCCATTTCAGAAACTTCCCAGAAGTGGTTTTCCACATTGCTTCGCTAAAGATACATGTCTCCCTTCATCTCCTTCGATTAAAAATAATGGCTAGTGCGGTGGCTGTGATATACGTAAACCAACCAACATCAGTCGCCATGACTTATTGCGAGAGAAAAAAATTAAGTTTTAGTCACATAGCATCGGTTAATGGAAATGGCGTCATTTTGCAATAGTTTTTTTATCAACATTTATAAAATATCGCAAAAGTTTTGCACAAATCTGTAATGGAAATGTGAGCTTCAAATCTCTGCGCTATTGATAATTTGTTAATAATGCTTTTATCACCTTCTAGTAAGGTTACAAAAGAATGTCAACTTAAGTCAGTATTTCATGTCCATATTTATTTGGCAAATAGCCATGTAATAAGCAATGCTGTCAGCCTATCAGCATCCAGCATAGACTTCGACGGTCCACGGCGGAGAGGAGGGAGCTAGGAGCCATGGTGGAGCCACTGGGTCGAAGGGCCAAGGCGGAGTACAGGACTCAGTGGCTGGAGACGGAGACAAGGGACCCTCCAGCCATCATTTATAAAATATCGCAAAAGTTTTGCACAAATCTGTAATGGAAATGTGAGCTTCAAATCTCTGCGCTATTGATAATTTGTTAATAATGCTTTTATCACCTTCTAGTAAGGTTACAAAAGAATGTCAACTTAAGTCAGTATTTCATGTCCATATTTATTTGGCAAATAGCCATGTAATAAGCAATGCTGTCAGCCTATCAGCATCCAGCATAGACTTCCTGTTGAAGTTTATTTTTTTGATAATGGCCGGCTGACGGTTTCGTTACTGCAGTTGTTACTCTTTATGAAATGTTATGAGATTTAACAACAATTATGGTGAGAATTCTTTAATGAGAGGTCAGTGCTGTCACTCATCCCTAGTAGAATAAAATTATAATAAAAGATAAAAATATGAAAGTTTCATGCAAGACCTACCTTTCCAGCTCAGTGCTCTATACCCCCAACAAAACTAAGAATGATTTACAAATGCTACATATTAATAGTGCTATCAATAATTTATCACTCTATGCTTCTAAGGGTAAATGGAAAGCCTGTAAGGACTGTTTCCTACTCTCACTTTATTTGTTGTCAAACATATTTCTTCTGAAAGTTTTGTAGCATAAAATGACAAAACACAACACTGAAATTTGTTTAGGAAACAGTGCATGACTGATTGTAAACTGTATTAATTGGACAAATATTCACACAGATAATCCACAAGAGTCATCACAGCATTCAAATATCACATCAGGAATTTCCGTCAATGTCCTTTTTTGAGTGAAGGTTTTACTGACACCTGGCTTATGGGCTAGAATGCCAAATTGGCTTATTTCAATTTGCTCCTGGCCTCCTGTTCTGGCCTTTGTCAGATAGTGTTTCAGCACAGTGAAATGATTGTGGACATGGTATTCTTTTACACTACGAAGAGCATGAAATTGGTATTAGTGTGATCGTAATGGTTGCTTCTCTCTCACTTGTTCTCTTCTCCCTCAGTAAACTGCCTGTTAATTGTGTTTGCCATTAAAAGATCCCACACTGGTGCCTGCCTTCAGCTCCTCGACTGTGGTGGGGTGATTTGACTGGCATGCGTGAAGGTGCCGTGCGTATTTGAAATGAACGTTGCTCCTGAATCAAATGATGATGGTCCCCATCATGACTCTCATTTCACACTTTACTGTTTCAGTCAGACCCCTCTTTATTGGCCCCACTGCACTGGCGTTCTAATCAGTGTTGTCACAGACGGCTTTGAAGGACCTTGACTTGAGTGTGCTTTGTAGTTCATATCAATGTTTTAAAATACTTTCATGTTTGTGGAACACAAATGCATGATTATCTTTGCTTTTTCTTCATTTGTGCTGTAGAACTAGTCATGTTATTCAGTGTTGGGTACTTCAGTGTTACGTTTAACTGTAATGTATTGCAATATTGAGAGGAAAAATACATTTTATAGAAAAGTAATGCATTAAGTTACTTTTATATTACTGTCAGTTGACTGAGAGTAGAAGGGCATGGCTTGCAGGTATTTTTTTATTTCAGAAGTGCTATTTTTGGCATATTTATCACCAAAAATATATTGCATGCAATGATATATAGGGAATACTAGGGAAAAAATATTTTATTATTGTTATACAGAACTCACAAGGTACAATGTGTAATGTCCCAATGCTGGCTATATGTATGTATGTTTAGATAGATAGATATTAAATATAGTTATGCCCCATTAAATTATTTTTTTTTCCATAGTTTGTCCTATATATCATTCCATGCATTCTATTTGTCAGTACAATATATATATATATATATATAAATACTACATTATTTAGGGTAACACGGGGTAAGAAGGGGTAACTTAGCCCCCACCTTAGATTTTTCTTTTGACCTTAGATGGCACAAAATCACATCTCAAAACTTTTGATGAATTGCTACATTATTTTAATTTTGCCTTTTCATCTCAATATCAACATTTGTGAGATTTAGTCAGTTTAAACAGTTTTTAGGTTAATTGATATAATTTTGTGTCTCTGGAAAATATCAGTTTACTTTCCCAAACATTCATTTTGCCATTAATTGTAATAATCCTGTCTGACATCAGCCAGTGCTCCACACAGATTTGAGCTCATTATCATCCAGTCTGTCTGGAATGACATGAAGAAACAGAACAAACTGAGACAGACTAAATCCAGAAAAACTGTGGCAGCGTCTCCAAGATGCTTCAAGAGACCAATCCGTGAAACCCCCTGAAAAACTATGTGCAAGTGCACCTAGGGCAAAAGCTACTTTAAACGCAAAGGATGGTCACACCAAATGTTGATTTAATTTAGTTAATAGAAGTTAATTGATGAAGAAAATCTATTTATGACATTATTTTTGACATTATTATGCCTAAAACGTTTAACAGTACTGTAGCTTTGCAGGTAGGTTTCTTGAAGCATCTTGGAGACGTTGCCACAGTTGGATTGAGTCTGTCTCAGTTTGTTCTGTTTCTTCATGTCATTCCAGACAGACTGGATGATGATGAAATCATCATCATGAGATCAGACTCTTCGTGCAAGCAAAAATATCACTGGATTATTACAATTAATGGCAAAATGAATGTTTGGAAATGTAAACTGATATTTCTTACTAACACACTACAGCAAAAGATAGAAATAACTGACTTAAAACCATTTTTTAGCTGGAGAAAATACTAGTGTTCTAATAATTTTGGCCACCGCTGTGTGTGTGTATGTGTGTGTATATATATATATATATATATATATATATATATATACAGTATATAACATGCATATATTAACAGCATTTAACAACGTATCATAATAGTTTATGTAAATTGTGTAGATTTGTGTAGATGCTTACTTTATTTGTTCTGCAATGATCTTGTATTGATTGAACCTTTGAACTTTTAACTATCTTGATTATGTGTAATTGTTCTTCAGAGTATCCTTGCCTTGAACCCAAGGGTGAAGACCCACGCAAATCTCCATTCCACCTCCTCTAAGAAGAACGAGAAGAAGCATTGGAAGAGAAACCCAGAGAGGAGCTGTGATGTGAGTAAACAAAGACAAGTTCTTCTCACAGGCTGCCTGAAATAACTCACTTTTCCAAAACTCTCACATATACTGCTGCCTTTGAGTTTTACATTAAATATTAAATAAACAGCCAATGGGAAGAAAAGCCCTTGTCACGACATTCCGAACTTACATATCTTTCCTTGTTTGTGGAATGTTTACATGCTGCCGATTGTCCCAATGTGTTACGGTCACAACGTACTTCTCAGCATGATGAAAATTAGAGGTTGAAGAAGAACAACAGCGAGCCGTCAAGATGTTAGAGCTGGTTCTCTGAAACTCCTGGAAGCTGTATCCCTGATATCCTCTTCTGAGAGCAAACTTCGTCCCAGTTTACCGATGATAATGAGTACTCTGTGATGTAGTTTATGGTGTGGTGATTCAATGATTATGTCGGCGATGGCTGTGATCATATTACTCTGATGAGCAGTAATAGGGCCGAAGATTATAATTCTATAATTAGTTCCAGCCGCCTAGTTTGTCCAATTATTGTAGAGATTCAAATTTTGACTCCTTCTGCCCTTTTGCTTACAATTTGTCAGTGAGTAATTCTTTAGCACTCATCAGAAAACTGCAGCAAAAACCTAAAGGAGACATTATGAAAATGCATCATAAGCACCCCACCCCCCAACTCCCCAAATGGATTAAATATTCCAAATTTCCTCTCAATTATTATCATATCCTGTGAGCCCTATGAGTCAAGGCTCATAAGCATATTCAAATGTTCATTTTAAATGATTTTTCACCATGTGGTGACTATGTTGATGAAATACCAAATCTTGTTTCCAGAGCTTGCATATTAATTAGCTGTTAAATTATACTACCAATTCCCAGCACTAAGCATTTTGTCTAATTAATAATAATAAAGCCCCCAAGATGTTGGATTAGACTAATCCTTTGCAGGGGAAAATGCTACACATAATTTCAAGAGAAAATGTCAATGGTCCCAGTCCCAACAATGCCTCAGTGTAATTGGAAATGTAATTATGTTTCATTTTACCACACAGATGAGTTTTAATACCACACAGAAGCTGTGAGATTAGTCTACTGTGACACAGGGTTGACCAAGGTCAAGTATTTTTTGCATTTCAAATCACAACACAAAATAACACATGGAGCTTCGTATGATAAAAGAAAAAAGTTACATATATAAAATTATCTACATAAACATGTGTGATTGAAGCAATTAAGCATTCTGTAATGGCTCTGCTCCAACCCCATCCGGGTTTTCCATTGCCCACTCCTCGATTGGAGAAATACGCTGTGATTTGACTCCATTACATACACTCAGTTTATTATTATTATTATTTTTTTATTATTATTTTGAAAATGTGGGCATATAAGTAAATTCATGTTTGTGCAATTTCCACACAGTAGCACTAGCAAGGCACTTACTATTAGGATGTGTTTGTATGATATGTTGACTACACTATATATCTAGGATAATTACATATTAGATATATTACAGATTAGGTCATTTTTACCTAACATTTTACCTTTTTAATCTTTCTAATAACATTTCAGAAATTCAATGTTTTTTTGCTAATAGTCTGTTTTCACCACTGTTTATCATGTGGTTTATTATTGGTGACTATGGATGTGATCAGCACAGGTTAGCAAGCACACAGAAGATTCCAGGAAACAGGCTTTTGTTAAATTAAACCAAACATTTTTATAGCCATTCAATTATAGCCATTGAGCATTATATTTGAAAGCCAGCATTTTTCTAATTTAATAGGCCTTCACTTAAAATAATCAGACTTCTCTTTTATGTTTTTATACTACCATTCACCCAAGTTCGATTCCCATCTTGAGGTCCTTTGCTGGTCCCACTCCCCTCTCTTCACCCAATGCTTTCCTGTCTGCACTCAACTGTCCTATCAAAATAAAGGCATAAAAAGGCCCCAAAATATAACTTGCTATTCTAATATTTTTAGGATGTTTTGAACAGCATGTATTTAAAATATAAATGTTTTGTCACATTATAAATGTCTTTACTATCATTTTTGATCAGTTGAATGTGCCCTTCCTTAATAAAAGTATTAATTTCTTTCAAAAGTAAATAAATAAAAATACATAAAATAAAAATAAATAAATAGTTAAATCGTACCCCAAACCTTTGAATGGTAATGTATTTTTATTAGTCATCATTTATTATATTTCTCATTTATTTGTGCTGTATTTCTCTTTCAGCGTTTATACATACTGTTCAGATAAGCAGAAAGAGAAATTACTTCTATCTGCTAATGCAATTACTTTTTCCTTGTCAAAACTTGTGATGCACATGAACTTTAATGATTAAATCACTACTTAAACTCTTAAGATTGATAGATTTATGTGAGGATCGTTCATCTCAATACAGCATCAGTATCAAAAGTACTTCAAGATTGATCCACCCAGATGGGTATTGCTGACATGCAGTTGTATTATGGGCTGTTAGCATGTGTTCTGCTCGTAGTGTCAGATTGATTGCGGAGAGAGCAAAAACATGCTCCAACTTTAAAAAAAAAACGCTTCTCACTCCAGGCAAAATCATGCAAGTCCATCCCACTCACAGATTCTACTATCAAAACAAAATTATATATAGTCAGATGTTTGAACTTGGTGAGGTTATGGTATTCTTTGAAATCTTTTGTGTGGTATCAATAATACCAGCAAAATCTTCTTGTGGCAATCAAAGCATCTTACCGAGGCACCATTTAAAAAAATTAAACATGTGCATTGTAAAACAGACTCTATTCTGGATTTGTCTCTTCTGAATCTATATCTTGGCAGAGGTTTCTGCAACACAAGGTTGCCAGCTGAAGTACAGAATCCAGTGGAGGTTCATAAAAGAACTATAGCAGAATATCAGATGGCTCGCTGGATTGGTTTCTTATTCACCACCCATCTGTGTTATAATAAATTGTAGTAACTCTGTCTCATGTCATAAATTAACTCAGTGCGTGAAATCGAGTTAGCCTCAATCTCAATCATGTTGTGATTTTATTTTCTTGGCACCTCAGCCGTATATATGTGTGGGGGAATTTCCTGGCTGCTCATCCCTTTGAATTTCATTAAATTGCTTAAGTCAGTTGTCACAATGGCTTCTGTGAAACTGTATTAGTTTATGGAATAAAGAAAACAGCTTAAGCGGCTTGAACTTTGCCTCCTAAAAAGGGAGGGGCTGGGGAATCCTCTTTAATGCCTCTCTGATAATGTCAGCTGTGTCATGTTACAGTGTTAAATGGCATCAATTAATCCTTCCGTTTGAAAGTAGAAACTGGTAAATCTTTAAAAGCAGGATAATCCCTGAACAGTCTACTCTGACGGCATAATCCTTCAGTGTGGTCATATTCAAATCTGCAGCCTACAGAATATTCCTTATGTTCCTCATGATTTAGAACCATTTAGAGGATGTTTGGTTTTATTTGTAGGTTAAGGATTGTTGTTTTTCTCAACGGTGGTCTTATTTACAGAATAAATAGGTTCTATAAATATACCATAAATTTATGGTTTACAGATTAAACCCACCAAAAAAGACAAAAGGTGATCGTAAAACAATAAAAGTGGTTTTAATTCTTCATATTATATGGGGGAATTTTCAGGGTCATAATGCATATTTCACCTGGCACAAGACGCATGTTTCACAAAATATGTTGCTACAAAGTTGTTATGTTTTATATATATTACTATATTTTTCAAAGCCTATTAATTGTTAAAAATAATGGCTTTTAATTATACTGTTACGTTAAATGGATATAATTAATGGCTAAAACTGAGGGGGAAATGGATTTAATAGAGACACCAGTAGCAGTATTTGTATCAATGATATTGGCCTTCATTAATAACAGACGACTTAATAAAAAAAAGATGCAGTTAAACACATATTTAAAAGATATCTTGTTATAAAAGATATGTTGTTTCTAAATTAATTTGGCGATTCAATGTGAAATTATACCATAATATATATTATATTAATATGAAATTGATTAATTTCAGAAAAATTTGCAATGGCTGCAATATAACAAAGAGTGAAAAATTGAAGGGGGTCTGAATACTTTCCGTACCCACTGTACATATAATATATTTTTACTTTATGTAGAAGAATAATTTAAAATATTTGGGTGTTTCTTAAACGTCAAATTGAAAACAACAACGACAACAACAACAACAAAACTTGAAACCATAGATTAAAATTCTTTAATAATTTACTCGTCCTCGTGTCATTCCAAGTTCCAAAACTGTATGACATTTTTTTTATAATTTTTATTCTATGTGGAACATACAGTAGAAGATATTTTGAGAAATTTTGAGATTTTTTTCCCCCCAATGGTCACCAAAACTGTTTAGTTACCAACATTCTTCAAAATATCTTCTTTTGTGTTCCACAGAATAAAGCAAGACATACAGGTGTTCTAATAATGAAAATGCATAATGAATAATTACATATAAATATATATTACATATTTAAATTTATGGTAACCTAAACAAAGAGTAAAACAATCATAAATAATTGTGATATATATTCAGAAATAAAGTAGCCTTTTTATTCACAGATCATTCATAAAATGTATTCTTTAACAAACACACTAATTTAAATGTGGTTATTTTTGTTAAAGTCCAACCCAAAAAATTCAGTAAATGTGCCGCTTTGTCCCACCATTGTCTCTGTCTGTCTCCCTCCCACAGTCTTGTGTGAATTTGGACAACAACTTCGATGACATCAAGCACACGACTTTGAGCGAGCGTGGGGCACTTCGGGAAGCGCTGAGGTAAGCACTGTCTCCATGGCAACAGTCACAGTCAACGCAAAGAGGAGTTTCGGGTGGGCAGCCGAAGAAACGCGTGTGCATGTGCGTGCCATTTAGCGAGGTGAGGACGAGTAGCGGCGTAAGTCATTCTTCATTATTGAGGGAATACAGGGGTGTACAGGCAGCACTCGGCTCTGCTTTTCTCAGGGATTAATTTGTTGAAAGGAAGCCTCCCTCTGGGCTTTGCCTTGACTCTTCAACCCTGCAGGAGATGCTAAGGCTGAGTGCACAGTGAAAAATGTAAAAGTTTAATTTGTTCGTTGAAAATGCTTTTGGGGATCCCAAGACAACATCAGAATACTTGATCATGAGGACCGCTGGTGGTCTGGTGTAGCTTTCAGTGTGCAGTCTTAAAAAACAATGTAAGTGATAAATAAAGATTTGCGCTTTGCAAAAAAGCTGAACAGGCTCCGAACTAAAATCTATTGATCTTCATATAAATGACACTGTTTGCTATTAGGCCTGTTTCCCACGAACATCTTTATATATATATTGGTGTTTTGTAGCAGAAGTGTTTAAGCACTGAGCACATTTTTGCACTATAGAGATCTGTTTATCAATATAAAGAGTGAACTATTCATCCATTGTTTTAAAATAGACATCTTTTGGGCTTTTTCTGACTAAAATGCAATTATATTATGCGAAGTTGTATATAGTCTGCATTTTGGCCTTTGGGTTTCATTCTGTGCCGGTTAATTACTGTGTAATGTGATCTCCTCCTCCTGTAAATTAGATTTCATGATGGTAAAGTTTGTGATAATTCTCAATGGCTCACTCTAAGTACGGATTTTATAAATTATAGCTTATAATAAAGGAAATATATAAAGGGATAGATATCATTTTATTTTTTGCATACAGCCTAGATCTGAGTGATATAATGAATATTCACAATGTATTTGTGATGGTTTTGAAGTATAACATTCAGCATGAAAATGATTTTAGTTTGCTGTTTATTCGTCTCATTACGTAGATTACTTTCGTAATAATTTCTTGTCTTGCATCGATTCAAAATTCATTTAATTATTTGTGCCATCAATCAAAAAAAGTTTCAGGCATTTTTAATATGTTAAGATGTTTTATTAAATATTTGTGTAGATAAACATTGCTGTTTATTGTTATGTTAGTGCATATCAATGAAAATGTTTAAATATCATCTTGGGCTCATTAGGATTTTTCAATGCTTTTAATGTTAAGAAGTCTCTTATGCTCACTGTATTTGATCAAAAATGCAATATAAACTTTTGAACAATCTTTTTTCACCTAGCCCTAACACTGCCACAGTTTGGTTAGATGTGAAACGCAAGCCTGTTGAAGCAAAAAAAAAAACAGGAATTATTTCAGAAACATTTAGTTGTTTGTACTATAGCTAAGTGTCAAATGGAAGTGCTAAAAGCAGAGTGCATTGACTCTAGATGAGCCTTTCTCAGTCAACCAAATGATACGACACAACAGGTAAAGTTAGTCAGATCGTTTACCCTGCATCTGTTCTGATCACATCTGATCTGCTTTTCGGACATCTGTCTCCTAAACATAATGATCTATTCAAATGTATACTGAAATAGCACCACATAATGAGTTCATTTTAATAATATGTCTAGCTAGGGCTGAACGATTAATTGCATTTGCGATAATATCGCGATATGAAAAAACACGATTTTTCAATCGCAGAGACTGCGATTACACTCGGTCACGTGACACGCGAGAGTAAAGAGGTGTGTTCCACTTGAAGATCGATCGGTGTAGCCTTTGACATCAAAGTACAGCGAGAGAAAGCATATGGAGACGTCCGTGCTCTATTATAGCTCTGGCAGTACTTTGATTACACACCCATCGGTCTAAGCAGCGCTGCTTCAAATCGCGCGCGGGCCATCAGCAGAAAAAGAAAAGAAATAAAACAGTAAACAGCCAAAGGACGTAATTAGAATGGGAGATGGATCGGTTTGTGAAAGCGAAGAGAAAAGCCATAGATGAAGTCGCACAGACCCAGGCAGGTGCTGGTCATTCAAAAGCTAAATGCAGAAAATATGACGAGGCATATCTTGCTCTCGGCTTCACTCACTGTGTCTATACCGGACGCTACAGTTGTCGCGTCGCGCCGCAACAGCTCTACATTGGACGCGACAAAGCGACCGTTGCAAATCATTTTAACTTTGTGTCAGTACGTCATAAATAGAACAAGGCATCAGTTTAATGTCGGCTTTTGTCGTGCCGCGCCGCATCTAGTGTAGACAGTGTCACTGGTTATAATGGTTTCTACTGTATTTTGCCGCTCGCGTCCGGTGTAGACACGGTGTTTAATGTCGTTGGTGAGGAGGAAAGCCTGTGTGTGTGTCCTATGCCTTAGCGGACAGAATGAAACCCACAAAAAATAAATCAATAACAGCGAGAGAATAATAATAATAACAGTTATTCTCTCTATGCTATTTTCAATGTTTCGAGTGATGCATGTGTTTTTTCCCTGTAGGTTTTTTAAATTAAATACGATTTTTTTATAGGTTTAAAGGGGGGCTTGACCAAAAAAGTTTGAGAACCACTGGTCTAAAGTTAACAGACAGTGTTTAGTGCAGTCCACATGTTTACATATGTCTATTACATTGACTTTGAATTACCTAAAGTAGTGTGGTAAAGCAACAGATTTGTTTTTATATTTCTGCAATCTACTTTAGTTTGTTTGATTTGTTACTGACTTTCATATTAATGTTTACACCAGGCTTATTTGTCAGTGCTTTATGTTGTCATAATTATTACATGCTTACAAGGTTGGAAGTTCAACAAATCAGTCAATGTACTGTGATTGTAGTTGTTAAATAAAAATGTCATTCATATCAATTCATGCATCACCTAATTTCATGGTAACATATAAGCCTGGCCTACAGAAAAGGACATTTATGTTTAATCTATCTAATAGTGTGTTGGTCATACTATACAATGATTTATAGCTCATAAAGAGCTTTAAAAAATAATTGCATATTAAATCGCAATCGCAATATTGGTAAAAAAAATCGCAATTAGATTATTTTCCAAAATCGTTCAGCCCTATTAATTCTGCATGGCATCGAATATGCATGAGCACAGCATTGCATCTGCTGATCATGAATAAAAAACAAAACAGCAGCGAAAACCAAGAGTTGGGAGAAGAAAGAGCGCTAGAGAGATATTGGAGACATTAATGCACACTTTTGTCCTGCGGAGGTTTGATTTTAATCCTTCTCTAGACAAGACTCCCCTGCAGTGCCGGTCGGCAGATTTGATGAAAGATTTAGGTTTTATAACTGCTAATAATGCTGAACATGAAAGTCCGAGCGGCGCGCTATTCTGGTGCTCATCACAGGAGGCAGCTTGCTTATTTGGCCTGTTTGTTGGATGCAGAGGAAGACCCAGGTCTGGATTCCCAGTGTCACGAAACAGCCAGAAAGTTGACTCCTCATTAAAGACCACAGATTGGTTCACATAGTGAAGCAAAGTTACTAAAATACTACTTTCATACCTCAAAACTCTTATCAAAGATGCTGCCTTATAGCTCAAATAACTGGCTTATCTTCACGTCAGTAAAATCACAAGCACTATAGCACTCACAGAATCCACTTTGATTTTAGAATAAATCAGATAATGACTAAGGAAAATTGTGATGTTTCATCCGGAAGTATTTTCTTGATGATTATAAGACAGTTTAATTGTCATGTTGAATTGTTTATATAAGACCTACTTTGATATTTCTATTAAAATTCTAGTTGAAAAAGCGAGTTCCTGACATGGTTCTGACATCTTCAGTTAATAGAGGCAGGTGGAACTTTGTTATATTTATTTTGTTCTCACTTATAAAATAATCATCAAATTTTAACTGCTTGTGGTACATCCTACACTGGCCTGTCCAAATCCCATCTTAGGGGTCCAATCAGTAGGGTTGGGAACTGAGATCTGTTTTTAAATATGCCTTGCATGAATCAGAAGCGTACAGCAGAGCTAGTGCAGTCCACCTACTGAATTAACCACTCTAACGAGTAAGTTCTTTTTTATACACAGATACACACTGATCATTCAAAAGTTTGAGGTCAGCAAGATTTTTTTTTTGAAAGAAGTATCTTATGCTCAACAAGACTGCATTTATTTGATTAAAAATACAGTAATATTGTGAAATATTATTATAATCTAAAATAACTGTAGTCTATTTGAATATCGTGTAAAATTTAATTTATTCATGTGATGACAAAGCTGAATTTTCAACAGCTATTAATTACTCCAGTCTACAGTGTCACATGATCCTTCAGAAGTCATTCAAGCATGCTTATTTGCTGATCAAGAAACATTATTAATCTTTACTGTCACTGTTTATCAATTTAATGCATCTTTGCTAAATACAAATTATATATATATATATATATAATCTTGTTATCGCTGCCGGTAGATTTGTGGACAGCGCTGTTGCACTTTGGGCATCCTGAGTTCGAGTCCAGGTCAAAATAAAGACAAAAAAAAAAACATGTTAAACCCAAACCTTTGAACGGTAGTGTATGTTACTACATTTGTATTAGGATTGTTGTTTAATATAGTAAAGGTCAGTTAGATTTTGTTGACGTTGTTGCACAGTTATTAACATCTATGTTAACACACCTTTTGCAAGAATTATTGTATTTAATTGTTGGTTACCATTTTTTTTATAGTCCACTATAGACATTTAACTATAAGTATCTTTGCAACTACATGTCAACTAATTATCATTAATTTGCAACTACATGTCTACTAACTCTTAGAGTAGACTGTTAGGTTAGGTTTAGGGTTAGTAGAATAAGTTGACATATACTTGCAAAGTTTCTCATAGTCAGTATGTTGTATGTTGTGGACCCATCAAAATAAAGTGTCAGAAGATATTAAGTAGACAGTCTACTAATACTCTAATGACTGCTAGTTGACATTGCAAAGTTGCTTACTGTTAGTAGAATGTCTAAAGTGGACTATCAAAA